CAGGAATAACAAGCCCTGATCACTTCCTCAACCATATGAAAGCAAGGTGGGAAAGTTTGAGCTGTATGCAGCTCATTTAAAGGAGAAAAAAAAAAAAAAAAAAAAGTAATTTACTCTCAGCACTCTGAAGGTGTGAACTGCTCATGTGAGCATTTGGTGTGATCCTGATACTGCAGCATCATATACTAAATGTTAGGTCAGACCGTAAGATAGGTGAGGAGGTTTACTAGTTACTCCGGAATGAACCAGTGAGCGCAGAACAGAACCTTTCTGCCTGTCATGGAGGTATCCTGCTCGACAAGTCAACTGCTCAGTTCTGCCATCCACGAAGATTTCCCGAAAGCCCCTAGACGAAGCTTCCGTAAAGCGCGTTGCGTGGCGCTGTGTGCAGTCAGCAATGCAGTTCTCCCATTTTCCCCCGCAGGCCAGCATCTGAATACTCCAGTCCAGGCAGACCGCTGAGCTGTTTTGTGGATGAGAACACTCCAATTACAGGAACGAACGGTGCGACCTGTGGGCAGTCGTCAGATCCCCGGCTGGCCGAGAGGAGAGTCAGGTCACAGAGGCACAGAAATTACATGAGCAGGACACATTTGCACACTCCTCCTGATTTACCTGAAGGATATGGTATGCAAATTAAAATATTTGAATTGTAAGTCTCCCAGGAAACTGGGTTGTGTCTTCTCCTCATATGTAAGATACTTTTGATTCCTTAGTTTGGGGAAATCAGTCTTTGTATTGCACTTTTTGTTCTTATAGTTATTAATTTATCTTTATTTCACAGAGCAAAGGACGACTCAGCAAGGTCAGGTGTATTTTCTGCATACTCAAACTGGTGTTAGCACGTGGCACGATCCAAGAGTACCTAGGTAAGAAATGATGAAAGTACCTTTAAGGTGTCAAATTAAAATAGTTTAAGCAGTACTGTCCTTGGAGTTTTCTCTGTCTGCTATTACATTTCTAACTCTTGGCCCCAATATATCATTTTAACAAGTCATTCATGCAAATAAATTAGCCTCTCCGTTCTTCAAATTATTTTTTTTTTAATGCAAAGATGGAGAACAAAGAAATAAATTACAGTGGTGGTTTGAAAACAGGTTTAGTTAACTGCTTCTAGATCTTGCATGTGAATTACAGCCAAGTCCAGGATTTAATACTCTGCAAAATAATGAAACAAAAAGTGAGATCTGAGTACTTCAGACATCTAAATTTATTGAGTTACTTCAGTGAAAGTTGAGTTGATTTTATTTTTTAAATCAGTCTCTGGAAGTTAACAACGCCTGAGAAATTGTCAACATATATTTATGAAGAACAAACTTGGTGACAAACAGGCTAGACAAATTTGGTCTTTTTTGATGGAGGACAAAGGAGAAAACATTGAAAATGTAGTGGATGCCCCTTGTATGTTTAGACACAGTATTATAGTGAACTACAGTCGTATCATCAAATTAGCTTAGCTTTACTTTGTGAGAATTATTGCCCGTGTTCAGACTATGAAATGTAATTTACTCAAGGAATGGGAAACTTGGTACATTTTGAAGAAACTAATTGAAGGCACTGGGTCATAAAAAGCCTGGAAGCTGAAGTAGTGAGCTGTGTTTGAAGTGCCAGGATTTTGGGTCTTTTTGTAAAAAAAGAAAGGGGGGGGGGGGAAGGGAAAGTTTTCCATTTTAGTAACAAACATCTAAGAACGCACAAGGTTTTTTACAGCAGGTTTCCTGTTACAGAGCAGAAATGAATATTTATTTTCTTTATAATGCTCTAATACAGATATTCCTCAAGCAATCATATATGCTTTCAAGCATCTTATTAGCAGCATATAAATGGGAAATAATTTGGGGGAGAGGGGCAAACAGGTAGAGAAGCTGAGAGAGACTGACCTGTGATTAAAATACTCAAATTGCTATTTCTGTTGTGGCTATCTCAACAATTAGGAGAAAATAAATCTGAAGTGTCCTTTTAGTTTAGTGTCCTTATTTACATGATACACATGTGTGCATATTGTACACGTGATTATTTCTGATGTGTTTGAAAGGAAAGAAGGATAACGGGGAAACTATTGTTACCTTCTGATTGTTCTTTAAAAACCCAAGAAATCCTGTTGAAAATTATTACCTCCTAAAGTCTGGGGATGGTGCCGTAAAATAGTGTGTGTGTAGTTTGAAATTGGCAGCCAGTGTTGGCATTTAGGAGAATTGTAGCAACTTTGTCAATTGCTGCTGGTGTTCATTCCCGTGGAAATGGATTTTGAACATCCCGGGAAGGACAGAGTGCCTCATGGCCATAGCTACATTGCATTGTTCAAATTATTCTTTTGGGTTTATTAGTACTTTTGTGTTACAAGAATATACTTTGCTTTGATACATTGTCTGTAGACTTTACGGTTTGATACAGCTGGCAATTGGACATTAGGAAGTCTGTGACTTGCCTATTATACACAACTAGAAACTAGACTTACCTAAAAAAAATTATATTAGATCTAATCCTTAAGTTGGTAGTGTAATAGTTTTGTATGAAATCTAAGTTAGCACTGGTCTTAGGTGTGGCAGCAGAAACTGCACCAGTGTCACTGAGAACAAAACTGGGCTGTTTGCATGTGGATGGAGTTTATGTCATTTCTAAGGAATATTGTATTTTTATGCTTATATGCCGCAGTCATTTAGTTAATAAAAATAAGCCCTAGAGTTCAGCAGCAGTGTGTATATGAGTACTAACAGCCAAAGTTCAATTCCAGAGCCTTGTATTTCCTTTAGTGGTTTCTCAGCCTTTTGAGTCCCTGCAGACAGCATCTTTTTAGCCATTCTGCCCCCTCTGCTCTTTCTCCCCTCAGCTCACATGATTCTGGGAGATCTGAAGACCCACACCTTTAAAAAGAGCTGCACTTGACAGTGTGAGGTATCTGAGGTGTGGATTATATACATGAAAAATCAATAAATTTACATTTTTGAAGGCTGGGATTTGTTTTCAGTGAACCTTTCGGAATGATTCTACATCTTCCTGATTTCAGCAGAATTTTCAGGAGGCCCATTAAGCTATGGCTCAGTGCAGAGCTGAGTCATTGTTCATAGAATATTTTAATTGAAATATTTTGTTAGAACGCTGTTTGCTTCCTACCAGCACTTGGGGGTTTGGGGCAAAACCACCTGTGGCACACACACATATCCCATGCGTAATTCTTCATGGAAAGTATAACTCTTCAGAAATATAGTTTTGTTTTGTAGGAGTTTTTAAAGTGTGATTCAGAGTTCCTTACATGACTAATGTTGTTTTAAAAATGTTTTCTGTCAAAATTGGTGTAGAACTGCAATTCCATTTTGGCAGATATGGAAATGGTCTTTATTTTTGTTTTAAGCCTGTATTAATTTAACATCTGAAGTTAGTTTGTAGAAACAAAGGTTATTTGATAAGAATTTTTTTCCCCACGGCATTTGTTCTGGGGTGTGTGTTTTTTCTTTGGTGGGCTTGCACCTTGGGAGTAGAGATTCCAGCTGAACAGATCAGGTTTCTGAAACGATACATTTTCTCAGACTTCATGGGATTGTTCTGTTACATTTACGCTTGTTTGGCTCGGAGGCCAAATGCTGAGGTATTTTTCATTTTATATTTGTTTTCACAGGGATCTTAGCAACATCAATTGTGAAGAGCTTGGTCCACTGCCTCCTGGATGGGAGATCCGAAATACAGCAACAGGCAGAGTTTATTTTGTTGACCATAACAACAGGACGACGCAGTTTACAGATCCACGGCTATCTGCTAACTTGCATTTAGTCTTAAAGTAAGTTTAAAGTCTCTGGCACGTGTTGAGCGTAATAGGGGAAAGAAAATGACGCTTGAGGGGTGCTAGATTTTATATCAAGATGTATTCTGCCATTCAGTGCTATTTAAAGTACAGTAGCAGTATTCTTTATCACACTACCAATTTACTCTGTTACATAGCAAAGAAAACAGGTTTGATTGTTCTCGGGGAAAAAAAAATCTCTAGCAGCATTTAGGCAGGAATGTGGCTATTGTGATGCCGGGAGTTGGGGGCAGCACGGGGCGGGGGGGAAGCATGTGCTGGCTGGTGGAAAAGATTGGCCCACAGAATTATTTTCTAACAGCAAGAGAGACGCTATCTTTCCTTTTCTTTATATGTCATATTACTTTCAGTTATGGAGTACTCGTTTTAAAATACGAGGTTGCATTCAATAGCCAGTGGTATGAAATTCGGATGAGTTAAGCCAGGATGCCCAAGGGCCCAGCTATTCTCCTGGAATAAAGGAGAAATGATTCAGCTCCTACCTTCAGTTTTAGAGTTGAGATGTTCTCAAAATAAAAGCCCAATAACTTAACTCAGATTTTTCACAAAAAGAATAAAATAAAATAGGAACTGTATTTTCTGCCTTAGTATTTGGATATCACATTTTCATATTTCAGTTTTAAAAAGAGAAGGGGAAACTCAAAAGGATTGGCTCTTGTTCTTATTCCCTTGGCACTCATTTCACGCTGGGGGATTTCCTACTAAAAATGGAACCCAAAAAGCAAACAAACATTTCTTTTTCTTTTTTTTTTTTGTGTGGAGACAGGGCTATCGGGTTGTCCAAGCTATTTGGGAGTTTGACTCTATTGTTTTTCCTACTAACACCTTTTAATGCTCTTGGGAAACACCTGTGAAGTATTGAGTAGGTGTTAAGTGGAAGAAACAATGAGGAGTTGGTTAGGTAGAAAGCCATGCAGCCCTGGGCAAGGAGTAAGTAGGAGGAATAGCCCTTTTAAGGAAGTGAATCATTGGGAAGAAAAGCTGAAGGAAAGAATAATGGGAACAAGCATTGAAAGGACAAAACGGAGGAATGGAAAGCAATATCCAGGAGGTCAACATACCTTTCGTGTAATACATAGGACTTGGCTAGACTCTCTCTGCCCAATATACTTTTGAACTTAATGCCCCAAGAGGGAAAAGAGTCTAAATATTGACAAATATGCATTTTGTTTGGAAAAATCATTGGTTATATACATGTATATTACAGAACTCTAGTAAGCTCCCATCATCAAGACACTTCCATTTCTTTTTTTAAATTTAAAACAAACACAAAAAATGACTACTAATTTTAGCTGAATTTAGATTGGTAGTTTCAAATGAACATGATCTTGAAAAAAACTTATCAATGGAGGAGCATATTTGTGTTTCAAACACAGAAAAGTTAACTACATTAATTCAGATTTAGATATTCTACCCGAAGAAGAACTTCAGACCCACTGAATTACAACAGTGCAGTTCTTAAACTGTAGAAAATTCAGTTAACTGGACTATATTTGAAAAACTGTCCTTCACAGGTAGGTTTATTTTTAAATGGCAGTAGGGTCATAGTAGCTAGTTCTACATGTATTGTAAAGGACAAATACATAGCTAGCTTTGTTACCTGGAAAATCCAATCTGACTTTCAGCTTCCAGAATCACAGAACCATTTTTCATTTCTAAAAGTTTAAGTACTACTACAGTGTGCTTAAGTTTTTCATTTGTACATCTGTCTTTCATTAGGGAAGGATCTCAGAAATTCAACCAACAGTGTCATCAGCAAAGTCTGCTGCCTGATAAATCTTTTCTGGTGTTTATTCTTTTATTGCACCAAACAAGATATGTGAAAGCCTCCCCCATTTTAGCCCACCGCCTTATTTGTTTGTTGTGTGGTTTTTTTTTTTTTAATAAAAAAATAGTCAAGGTGTTTGCCTTTTGGCCTGTCATTTTGTAAATTGTCTGAGAAATAGGTTTAGTATTTGGGTGGGATGGGTGTGATAGTGTTTTAGGTTTAAAGGCGTAATAAAATGTTTACTCTCAGTGATACTTTTTTGTCCAGCTGAGTAAAGCAGTTTGTTCTTCCAGTGATGATGTTATAAGTTATGAAAATAATCAAACTTGTTACCCAGTTCTGTTTGAAAATATTGGCCAAGAGTTTGTGATAGGTTTTGATAGTTATGGCATCTGAAAAGTACTTAGCTATATCCTTAAAACACTCAAGAGAATCAAGAATAGTCATTCAGCTGTGAAAACAAACTAAGAAATTAGATTTAATTACTTTAAGCACTGCAAATTGTTTAGCTAATACTGCACTGATTATTTTTAGTCTAATATGGAGGATAGCGTTTTTTCTCCTCCTAGTACTGCCCTATTTTAGATTGGTGTAATTTGATGCGTTGATCTTAAGTTCATGCTTGTTTCAGAGGTGTCATTTTCTTTAAGACTGACATTGACTAGTTTTTGTGTTCAGGGAATTGTGTCTTTTATACTATTAAAGGTAGTATGAACATATGCTCACTGTCATATATAATTATGACCTTCTCTGGTAGGCATACACAAGGAGTATTTTCACGTGTTTGTCCTTATGGAATTAGAAAGTTCAGAAGATAGAACAGTGATTTTGCTATAATTGGTATATCTAGTAAATACAGTTTAAGGGAGACTCATTTAAAACTAATCACAAGTGAAAAGAAACTACCATGCATGTAGCACTAGTGACGTACAGCTGTATTCTGGAGCCACATCAAGTGTGTGTCTCTAAATTTTTGTAATGACTTGTTTTCTCAGGAATGACTTAGAATAACTGTAGTTTACCAATGTGATCAGCTTGAGAATAAAGTTAAGATAGCCTTATTTAAAAAAAAAAACCACAAACAACAAAACAGAACAACCAACCAACCAACCAACAAAAAAAACACCCCAAAAAACCCAAACCACCCCAGCAGCAAACAACAAAACACAATGAAACCAACACAATGGATTAAGCTAACTTATGAAATTCTGCATCCTAGGGCATAGTAACAAAGTAGGATTTCTGTGTGTTTTCCCTCCTTGGGGCCCAGGAGTAAAGAGGTATTATTAATATTAAGCTTTGAATTATTGCTGAAGTGATCGACAGTGTGTGCCATTGCAGGGCTTTCTAACCGTTGGGCTTGTCAGACTACTGATAAAGATTTCCTGGTCACCTGGTGTTAGTTTCCCTTGAGGGTGGTTTGTGCAAAATTGCTTTAAATGGAAGGTTTGCAAATAACAGAATAGCTGTCAGAACCACAAGGCAAACTGGGAACACCCCCCCGCCCCTTTTTTTAATTGCCAGTTCTGAATGTTCGTGTGATAGAAGCCTGTGGGAGTTGGGTGGCCAGGAGAGCTTTCTAGTAGACCTTGTTTCAAGACAGACAATAGGCTGAAATTTTAAAACATATTAAAACTGTGTTTGGTTCCATCTAATATTTTTTGGTCTTTGATGTTGAAAAAACCAATTTATTAACGTTCCACTGGAAAACATTCTGAATTGTGACCTTTCTTATTTATCCAGTAAATTCAGGGTATTCTCATGCGTTCCCCACAGCGGTATTCTTCTCATGGTTTAGGTAAAATACAGCTTTTATACTGTGTTTTTTGGAAATGCCGTAATAAAAAGCTATAAAAACATCCACTTACTGCATACAAGAAACGACACAAGAGAGGACATCTCTGGAACACGATTGATTTACTTTTCCTAGTAAGAAGTCAGATTTGCAAAATCTCTTAGAATTGCTAGTAAAAATACTTGTTTATCTGTGCCAATTAGCTACATGTGAACTCCCACATTCCTGTGGTCCAGACTAGGCCAGGTACAAGGGACAAGGTCCCTGCCAGGCTGCCAGTACAAACATCTTTTTGTAAGCTTACTCTTTTTCAGACAAGCCATTTAAAACAGACGATGGTATTGACTGGAGATTAGAGGCATAGTGTTTGGCAGATCACTGAATTTTAAAATGGAGGAAGGCAAAACACGCAAAGGAAATATGGAAACGGTATCTGAGAAATTCAGTGTCAGCAGCTTAGTAGTGAAATAGTAGGGATAATACCTTATTATATAGTGCTGTAACCTTTTACATACTTTGTAGAGTAGTACTAATAGAAAGAGCAAAGCCTAGAAACAACTGACAATTGCCAAGAAAGACAGAAGCATATGTCTTTAGTCAGGATAAAATCTCTCTGAATTTATTTTTTACTGGACCTGGACATTTTTAGTGTAGTCACGGTAATAATCATATTAAATTGGAAGTAGTTCAGTTACAAAGACTTAACCTTTAAGAAACACGTGAAGAAAATCGGGGAGGTATGACTTGAGTGCCTGCAAACAGCTGTGTTTATTTCTAGCCGGCAGAATCAGCTCAAAGATCAGCAGCACCAGCAGCAGCAGCAGGTAGTGTCCCTCTGTCAGCTGCCAGACGAGGCAGAATGTCTGACTGTGCCGCGGTACAAGCGAGACCTCGTGCAGAAACTCAAGATCCTGAGGCAAGAGCTGTCGCAGCAGCAACCTCAAGCTGGCCATTGTCGTATTGAGGTCTCCAGGGAAGAGATTTTTGAGGTAATTTGAGAATTTGACCCATTTCTTAACATTGAGGGAAGGGGAGGAGGGTTGGTCATAACCGTCTAAAGAAGTCATTCAGTTAGGTGGAATTCTGAAGTTTGGAGTGAAAGCTGGAATTTTATGGGTGGTGAAAGGGAAGAGGAAGCATTTCAAGGGGATGTTAAGAACAGTTGTGTAATTAAAGTAGATGTATTTACCCTGTAGAAAAGCAGAAAAATTGGTAAAGCTTTCCCTGTGGCTGGACATGGTTGGACTGTGTGCAGGACTGGGGAAGGGATCCAAGCTCTTCATGTATTTGAAGATACTGTCTCACTTCTTCCTTGAATAGAAGAAATCTGATGTCTGTTAAAGAGGGAATGTTACAAATTGAAATTATTAGTGATCTTTGATCTGTTGTAACTTACGTAACATTACTATTGAATAGCATTCATCTTTGGAGTTTGCGTTACTTAGCATCCATCTCAATTCCAATTGATTCCTCCCCCACCCCAATCAGACCAGTTTTATGAATTGTCTACACTTGTGAGTGACCAGAGGTGCCCACAGTGGGATGTCTGCATTTTATTTTGTGACATTATTCAGCAGAATAATTCTGCTGAATTGATTTAATTGTAGTTATAATTCATTGGCTTTTTCTGCAGAACACCCTGTCTTCTGGAGAACTTTATCACCCATCCCACCCATCCCTGTTGTATTTTACCCCACCCACAAACTTGGTAGCCCCACTGTGTTGTCACAGTTTTTTCCCAGCCAAGAAAGATTTGTGTTGGTCTTCCCTTTGGAGACAGTCAAATCACTTCATAATCAGCTAAAAAAGAAAGGGAGGAAAGGCTGCTGTACTGCAGTGAAAATGATGCGTTCTTGTTCTGAAAACTGAGTTGAGTGTGTTGGGTCCCAGACACACCTACCTCTTCTGTTCTGCAAAGCTGAAGGTTGGGGCACCGATACTGGACATAAATAAAAACTAGACTTTTGGGGGTTTAATCCTTTTTAAAAATCAGCATTTATTTTACCTCTTTCAGCTTGCTTTTTGTGTTTTCTTAGTGAAGTCTTACTGATAGAGGAATAATTCTGTAGATCTACAGGGATGGCATTGATTCTTCTTTTCGTAAGATGCTTCCTGAAGGTTTGCACATGCATTATACCCAGAGTAGAGGCTCCACTGTTGGCTTTTCAGGCTGCAAAAATTGTGAGCCTTTCTGCAAAACGAAAGGAGTTTACTGACACAGATTTTAATTTTTTTAAGTTATGTGAGAATGAGAGAGATATTCTGATCACTGTGCACCTCTGGAAATTTATTGGAAAGTGGTTCTTCTCACATATCTGTTTTATTTGACATGCGTTATCGCATTTGTAGAAAACTAAGGAACAGTCTGTGATTTGAGAAACTGCTTAGTATCTAGGAAAACAGTATCCCCTTTAATAGTATCCCCTTCGGACTCAGAGTCTGAGACTCCTTTCATTTCTAATAAACAGTAGTAACTTCTTGTCTGAAATAGCAGTTAATGAAAGAAAGTGTTACGTGTTTACAGGAATCCTACAGGCAAGTCATGAAGATGAGGCCAAAAGACCTGTGGAAACGATTAATGATAAAATTTCGTGGGGAGGAAGGCCTTGATTATGGAGGTGTTGCCAGGTAAACAGTTTGTACTCCGTCTCTTCCCCCCTACCCCAACCGCACCAACTACACCTGTGCTTTGAATCCTAAACCAGCCTTTTATCAGCTCTGTTTCTTTTTACATCGTTCTTATTTACATTTATTTCTGTAACAGATTGTATGTCAGAAGAATGTATATTTCCAGATAGTCTTTTAAAGGAAAAACTGCATCAAAAAAGAACTAATTTATTGGAAAGAAGTCAAAATGCATGTTGCAGATTGCATCAGACATCTATCATATATGCAAGACAGGCTTTTGGTATCTATTGAAATTACTATATTTTTCTTTGGTCAGTAAAGCCTGCGGGTAGCTGAGAATTTATACCACTAAATACTTGGGTTTGTGGCAGAACTTTGATCAAAAAGTATGCTTTATTGCGAATTGACACTGCTGTTTGAAGCAAAATGTTAAAAACTAGCAGTTAGTAGGCAACTAAATTCTGTCAGGAGTCTATGAGGTTATTTTTCACTTGCTTATAAAAAATGGCATTTCCTGATCGTATGAAGATATTCTTCACCTGTTAAAACAGCATTAGGGATTGTATCGGCCAATTGCACAGATGCTGGTTTGCTTCAGTGAAAATATTCCCCACCTCTGGCATGTGGATCTACTCTGTAAATGAGTGTTGACTCATTTAGGAGCATTCATTGTTTGCATTACATCGCATTTTTCTACCATTAGTATTAATTTCAAAGTGCAGCCAATGGTCCGAAACAGCCCATCTTCTGCATCCGCCGATGGTGCGTGCAGTAACCTCTGGGACCCAGGCTGTTACGCGGCGTCTGTCTTCACGCGTTTGCAAATGACCAATAGAGTGTTCACTTCATCCATTCTTAAATATTTTAACATGCTAATTAGCCATAACTAGTAAAAACAGTCTCGTTGAATCAATTACCACTAGTTGTTTGATGATTATAATAGTGTTTAAAATAAAGAAGTTACAGATGTTATTGTGCACTATTTCCCAAAGTATCTACTAGTATTTTCCAGAGTGGGTCTTGTTCCTAGACTGTACGCCGTTGAGCCTTTGCCGTCTCCCATACATGAATACAGGAAGACCAAACTAGAAAGTGTTATGGTTTTCCCAGTTCTTAGACCATTATTTACTGATTTATGAACATGTAATTAAAACTTTAACTAAATGTATCTGTTACCTGAAGATGGGTTATATTAAACGCTCTGGCTCAAATGTCTCTGTAGTGTAACTGGTAGAATACAGTGTCTTGTCTTAGGGTATAAGGTCTGAAGGAGAATCACAGTCAGAAATTCACTCGGAAATAAGTAACCTGGAGAAAAATCATGGAAAGCTGAGAAATATGTCAGTTGTCAGGGGCTGTGCAGTTACTGAGCCAGTAAAAATAATTCTGATTTCAGCCTTATCTAAGCATGTTCAGAGAGAACTTCTTTCACACTTGTTTTTAAGCTTTAAAAAAAATTCTATTTTGAAAAGATTCTCAGTGTAGGAATGCATTTGCTTAAAGTACACAATAAATTATTTTATTTTCTTCAGGGAGTGGCTCTACCTATTGTCCCATGAAATGTTGAATCCGTATTATGGTCTCTTCCAATATTCCCGAGATGATATCTATACACTGCAAATCAACCCAGACTCTGCAGTCAACCCGGTATGACTAGTAACATGAGTTCTGTAAATTACTGTTTTGTGACTAGAAATTAAATACATCTGGAGAGTGTTCTAGACTCAGGAATCTAATTCTCACATTAGTATTGCTAGAGACTGAATTTGTGCAATAATATGATAATTTCTTTTTGGTACTGATCAAAGAAACTTCTCAAATGTGTTCTTAATTTTCTGTAAGATTATGATTTATGTTTCCTTTGGGAGAAATTAAGTTTATTTTGATTCTTAGTAGTAAGACTTCTGGACTGGAAGCAATAAACTCAATGTGCTGTGTATAAAAACAAACAAAACAAAAAGCTCTGAATGTGTTGGGTCAGTCTGTTGGTTTTTTTTTTGTTTTTTTTTTCTTTTCTTTGTATTGCAATCTTATTTCATATTCCGCAGATATAACCTGGAGGTCTTATTTAGCTGAATGGCTTAGTCTCTTCTTTCAATTCTAGGAACACTTATCCTATTTCCATTTTGTTGGACGGATAATGGGGATGGCCGTGTTTCATGGACACTATATCGATGGGGGCTTCACGTTGCCTTTCTATAAGCAGTTGCTAGGGAAGCCAATTACTTTGGATGATATGGAATTGGTTGACCCTGATCTTCACAACAGCTTAGTCTGGATACTGTATGTACTGTGTATTCTGTCTAACTATGTTAGAATTCTGTCTCGGTTAACACATGATAATGTTCCTAAATCCAGTTGAAAAGAAATTAAGTGTATTTTGATCTCCTGCTCAGGCAGATTTAAGAAATGTCTTGCACAATTCAGCTTCTTTAAAGGCTTAGCATGCTCAAGGTATTCAAATTTGGGGAGTGGGTGGGGGGATAAATGATTACTGAGCTGTAAAGTGCTCAGTTCATAAATTTTAATTTATTAATTTGTTCTATTATTAACAGTAACATGTTATTAAAATACAACATTGGAACTTTAATAATGGTTTTAAAATATAACATAGCAAAAACGTATGTTCACCTTTTGCTTCCAAGCAATAATTTGAAATGCTATTGAAAAACTAAATTGTGATGTATCTGTCAGATATATTATGGCTGTAATATATTTGCAGAATATGTTTTCACTGAGTCACTTGCTTATTCCTTTCCACCAGTGAGAATGATATCACGGGCGTCTTGGACCATACGTTTTGTGTAGAACACAACGCATATGGAGAAATTATTCAACATGAACTGAAACCCAATGGCAAAAGCATCCCTGTGACAGAGGAAAACAAAAAGGAATATGTCAGGTACACCGATATCTATTCCAAAGTTTTTTATATTTCCTGTGGTGGGGAGGAACTTCTACTTATTTCAGGTAATTAACAGTGTCATGTTGTTGTTTTTTACCGAAGTGGTAGTGCAGTGATGGTAGTGTGTGTATTCCTGTCAGTCAGGTCATTTTTTTTGGCTGTATAAATTGCAGGTTTATTGTATCTGAATACATCTTTCACAAACCAATTTGCACTTGCTTGCAGACTTTATGTAAACTGGCGGTTTTTACGAGGAATTGAAGCTCAGTTTCTGGCTCTACAGAAGGGATTTAATGAAGTAATCCCACAACATCTGCTGAAGACATTTGATGAGAAGGAGTTAGAGGTCAGTCCACTAATGTTACGTTACGTCGTCAAGTGTAACAATGAAAGCCCGAGGCATTCTTCTGGGACTGAGTAACATGCGAAGTTGTGTCCCCAGTGCATTAGGGGTGTGCAGGTGCGCTCTTGCAAGAAACAGTTAACGTAAGAGGTTACCGGGTCATGCAGTCACTGAGACTGCTTGTGCCTTCCACTCAGAGCCAGGAGAGTGCTTCTCAGGGCAATGTTTTGTAGCAACTGCAGAAGTGGTAGTAGAGGAGACCCTCTCCTGTACCTGAAGACCCAGCTGAACTTACTGAGAAGTACCTGCAGTGACCTCAGGTCGTTTCGGAGAGCATTACTCCAGCAGAGGTGGTGGTGCATATTTCTCACGGTGCAGTTTCACTGTATTAAATGCAGTGCTGCCAGGAAAATAGTCTGTCGCTCCCTTCACCTCCCACCACTTGCTCCCAGCCCCAGCTTTGGTGTCAGGCAGCTCTGTGGTTTTGCGGAGCTGAGTTATGACAGACTAAATTGGCCCTGTAAATACAGCACAAGGAAAGTGCTGTCTGGTACTGTCACCGACAAATGGGCTACAAAATGTCAAGGTCAGCATCCAAACAATATCCTCTCCAGGCAAATCCCATAGATCCCAAGCTTCTTTTAAAACTGAATTCTAATATACGATCTGTTAGCTGTGGAGCTGAGGTCTTTGCCATATAAAATGGCCACAAGGTAAATTATTCATGCTTCCTTCTATTCACTGTACTAGAATGTCAGCGATTGTTCTTCTTTTATCCTGAATATTCTCACTGAACAGCAGTGGGCCAGCCATACTGTGAACCTAGAATCATTTTGCAGATTGTAGAATAAGAAAGGGGACAACCCAGTGTTCTTAATCACTAGAAAACATCTTCATAATCATATTTCTGTTGAGCTTAAATGGATCCATTGTGGATCTCCATTTGAGAAGCGCTGAAAGCTCTTCATCAGGAGAGAAGCCTGATTTGTATTATGTGTGTGGTATGACAAGAACAATATTACTTTTGAGGGTCCGGAGTTGGACCAGCCAAACTGCACCCTTAGCTATGCTCCAGAAAGAAATACTGAGTGCAGATGTGAATTATGCACTCACTTCCACGCACGTGTAGAATCTCTGCTTCTGTTATTTAATTGGAAGGCCAAGACACTTTCATATAAGCTTATGAAATGGTTGATTTCTTTAAAATTTGAATTGAGGCCATTTTAAAAAAAGATTGCGTACAAAGGTAAGATTAAAAAAAATCAGAAAAGTTACATTTCTGTATTGCTTAGGATTAGCGAGAGGTATTAAATGTTGGTGTAAAATCTGTCGATTTTTCAATATCAGCTGTTCATCATTTGGGTAGCTCTGAACCCATTTTTATATTGATGAATGATGAAATATGTAATTATCTTTTAAATTTACAGCTCATCATTTGTGGACTGGGAAAAATTGATGTTAATGACTGGAAGGCAAATACTAGGTTAAAACACTGTACCCCAGACAGCAACATCGTGAAATGGTTCTGGAAAGCTGTGGAGTTTTTTGACGAAGAGAGGCGAGCGCGACTTCTCCAGTTTGTGACCGGCTCATCCCGAGTGCCTCTGCAGGGCTTCAAGGCACTACAAGGTAACGCTTCTCCAGGAGTAACTGCAAATGCCTGTACCTGGAGGAGGCCATAGGACACATCACGGGAACATTTGCTGAAAATAAGGCTGGCTGGCCGCAATGGGACTTTTTAAGAGCGATTTTTAATGGTCTGATGAATAACAATCACAAACAGTCTTTTTTGTGTGTTTGTTTATTACCTTGTTATTCAGCTGTAAATGGCTCCTTTGTTTCAATTAGCGCTTCCTTCCCTGGCTAGAAGTTCTCATCTGCAGAGATCTTAGTGGGGTTCTCCTTATGTGTTTTCTGGAAGCCTGTTTTTTAATTTCTCTCTCATCACCTGTACAGCTCTGGGACCAGAAAACACCAACATACAGTGTCCTTGTGATTCTGACAGTGGAGGCACTCTGTAATGCTGACGACTTTTACTGTATGAGCAAGCAATAACAGGCAGCCCAGGCACCAGAAACAATGCCCTTAGTTACCGACCCGTCTTCTGAACTTCAGTCGAGGCTCTGGGTCCGTTGTAGCAGCTCTGGCTGCAACCCATACTGCTCTATTAACACAAGTTAGCCTGTTTTACCCTCTCATAAGACCAGAGAAAATGTCCAGGGGAAACATTAAACCATTTTAACAGGTAGACGATTCCATCAGAACACAAATGCTGTGATAATACCTGCCACACAGAAAAGTCAGTTGCTCTAGAAACCTATTTGTTCTTTGTTATCCCTTCATTATCAGGTAGAAGCCCTCATTTTCTTTTTCCTGTGTTCTTGAGCTCTAAAATATTCAGGTGCATTTGAAGCTCAGCAATATTAAGTTTTTTAAGACCCTAGTTACTTTAAGCAATGTATGGTACTTTAAGTGATAAGTGTTTAAATAACATTGCAGAGCGTGGAGGGACTTGTTGGGGCAAACTGTAGCAGTCAACCACCTCAGGATAGTTACAAGTTCAGTCAGCCCTGCTGCTGGTGTGCATGCTGGTGCTGTAGTGGAGTACATGAGGTGCATGCTGGTTGGAGAATGGAAGCAAGACCAGTTTAACTCTATCTGTGCTGCAAGTTTCAGTAGGACTATACTGGTAACATAAATGAAGCCGGCTTTCCTACGGGTATGAACGAGAAGGTTGACAGGTTGTAGATCGAGTTGGACTAACACAGCACAAGAAGCTCATGTTGTTACTTAACAGCAGAGTCCTCGTGAGAAAGACTGACCCTGTGGATTATATGCTTTGATGTCTGTCTCCTCAGACAGGAATTCCAGTTCTGCTAAGGTTAGGGCATTTGTAGCCTTTTCTGTCCCTTGTGAAATCTTCAGTGTATACTAAGTCTAAAAGTCTGCCGTGCTGCAGTCTTTTTAGGAGAGGGACTAAGGGGATCTCTGTATAGTCAGCTTAATTTAACAAAATTGTGACTCCTCTATCAAATTTGAATGGAATTGGCCACTACTACCTGTTATAAAATGGGAGCAGATACAGCTGCGTAAGTTTTCTTCTCTAGGAAGGGTGAGAGAAGTGCAATTAAAAACTGGTAGAATTATATAGTGCACTGTGGAAACCAGGTATTTTATTCTTCATTATCAATGCTTTGTTCTTGTTTACCTTTCAATGGTTTAAATAACTGGATGGTTATCGTGTGTGGGTGGAGGGCAGGAATCTGTCTTATAGGCACGGTCAGCTTGTCTTAAGGTTTTTTTTCCTGCCTGTGTATGATTTCAACTTTCTTTGTGCATAGCTTCTCTCTTTTTGTCGTTTTAGTTACTTCTTTGTTGTTGCAGTACAACAAAGAAATTTCATATCATGCAATACAGTAGTAGTAGAGATCTTTTCTGGATTCTGGATTTTCAGGTGCTGCAGGCCCACGACTATTTACAATACACCAGATTGATGCCAGCACTAATAATTTGCCGAAAGCTCATACCTGGTAAGATTTTTTTCAGGCCTCTATTGTAATATATAGATTAAGATTAATTTGCTGTCTTTATATTTTGAGCAGTCTTGCCCCCCCCTTTTCTGACGTAATAAATGCTATCCATTGCACAGCAGTAAAGGTGTGAAAACTAGAGATTGATTTTACATATATGAAGTTCTGAGTTTTGCTTTGTCATTGTTTCACATACACTAAGGGAAGCGTAACAGAACTTTGCTAGGTGATGCTTGAAGTTCTGTGAGCTGAAATCTTTCTGCCTTCTGTCCACAGCTTTAACCGAATAGACATTCCTCCTTACGAAAGCTATGACAAGCTATACGAGAAGCTGCTAACTGCCATTGAAGAAACATGCGGGTTTGCTGTGGAATGACCCTTCACAGGCTTACCTGAGACTCTATTTATACTCCTGTCAGCCAGAAAGCCCTTCCCTCAGCCAAGACTCAAGAAATGCTTGAAATACAGGAAACTTTCCCTTTTCTACACTAGGACACTGGGAGGGAAAGGACAACTTTGGAATTTTTTTATTTTATTTTTTTTGTTTCAAGAAAATAGGTTCTGTGGTTCCTGCCATAGGATCATTCAGCTGCTATTAAAAACTAATATCTTGAACATACAGAATGCTGACTTTTCCTACATTTCAACAGTTAAGCAGTATTCTATACTTAAAGACTACTACTATTTTTGTAAAAGGTAATCTATTATATTTGCCTACCTGATTTCTATTCTCAGATACCAAGACACAACTTCAGCAGTCGGTACAAGTCACGTTTCACCCTGTTTTAAATGTATGATACTGAACAGCATCTATACCTGCTATTTTTGGAAAAAATATTTTGGATTATTCTAACTTTGCATAAAATTGGCTGAAAGAATCATTAATCTTTTTAATTAAAGCCACTTACATGTTAACTGCATTTTCTTATAGTAAAACATTATATTCTGCAATGTAAATTCAATTTAAATGTTACCACAGGGGGCTTTTTTATATTTTTCAAGCATGAATTACAAATACGATGTTTTGGGGTCCTATTTATATCACTTGTCAGATTCCTTAAACAAAATTTCTAGTGTGAGTGACACAGACTGTATTTGGTACAGTACTTGTGTTAACGTGTAGAATAGACCTTTTTTAATGAACAGTAGACGTTTTGATTTTTTTAAAACAGCATTTTTCTAACAAGTCTGTCAAGAGTATTTTTTGTTGCTTTTGACTTTAAACACTGCATTTTTCAACTTTTTAAGCGCGCTGATGAGGTGATATTTGACAGCAGAAGCCTGTCAGCAGTTCATTTCAGAACCCATCCTGTCCAGTCAACCAAAGTTTGTTTGAATGCAGCCAAATCACATTCTATCTTTGTCGATGCTAAAGATATATCAGGTAAAACATGTTGTAATCTTTGTCTAGCTGCTCATGACATGTGGGTTTAAGTTACAACTAAGGAAGAATGGTGTATTAACTGAAATATGTGTAATGTGCTTTGAAAATGAGGTTTTAAAAGCACATAATTTATTGATTGTAGGGATGGAAGTAAGTATATATATGAATTATAACATGGGTTGATCTCTTCAAAGGGGAATAAAATGCACTACCAGTAGAGGGAACTGAACTTTGAAGTTAGTTTGGGAATTCTCAGTTAAGATCTGTATGATCTGTTCGTGGTGTGTAGATAAATCAGTCTGCTTAAGAGATGGTGGCATTCTCCTCTCAGCGGTGTGAGTATTTGGAATAAGTAGTGTTTTTTTTCCAATCAGTGTTGTGTTTTTTTAACTTAGGTTACAATTAATCATCAAATCTGCACTATTTTTACACTGCCAATGAGGAGAAAGTCAAGGGTATTGAAAATGCTAAAAGAATGGGATATAAAGAGCTGTTCCATTTTTGCAGTGTAAGTCACACAGTGAACTAGCTAATTTTCTGTCTGTTCTGTGGAGCCTGAACTTCATTTTGTTCTGCCAAATCTGACTGCCACAGTGAGTAAACTACTACTGGATGTTGTGTATTAGAATAGCGGGCAATGGACTACTTTTGTAGCATTGTGGTAAGAATCTGGTGAGCCAAATCCACATGTTCATTTGAAATTTTTTTTTTTTTTTTTTTTTGTACAGCTGTTGCTGGAAGGTTTGTTCTAAGAGACTTGCTTCCTATTCTGGGCTGGCTGCAGAGATGAGGCTACTTAGGGATGTAAACATAAAGCCAAGAAACTTGCTTTGACAGCCAGGTTTGAAATATATCAGACCCTTTTTTTGTTTCATTTCAAGGGCCGATTACACTCATGTAAAATGGCCGGTACCTTTGCATCTGCTGTTGGGATCCCCAGTTCACAGCTTTCAGGTAATATGTTACCAGAGAAGCTACCACTACATCTGTCCAGGTTGCCTGGGAGAGCAAAGTAGGTTGTTGCCCAGTGTGTTTCTTACTCTCAGTACTGCTGCCTGTGGTTGGGACCACTGCTTTAGACACTCCCAAAGACCTCTTCTCACCCCTGCAAGTTTTGAGGTGTGTGATGTGAGTTACTACTTACAGAGACTTCACAGAGACAGGTTCTTTTGACCACTGTTCACAGGATAAATACTCCAGTGTATATTAGTGATTTTTTTTTTTTTTTGTTTTCCCCCCCTGCTCTTGCTCAGGCTATGGCTGCAGCCACCCCGGTCATGAAATGCGAAAAATGTAAAATCCAGTTTGATCTAGCTTTTGGGAGAAGTCAGGACTCCGATAGGTGATTGGAGGGGGAAGGTATGCTGCTGTTCCCTTTGCACCAGGCAGCTCACCTCAGCACTGTGTAAAGACTGTCTCTGTAGTGTCTCCCGATCACATCATCTATACCCACCTCCCAGGAACCTTCCCCCTATCAGCCTACTTACGCTGGTAAATTTTTGAATTGGTTATGGCCACCCTTATGTCATAAAAGCTTTTTTGAGGAGGGAGGAGATGAGCTCTGCAGAATATAGACTTTAAATCAGCTGATAAATACCATTCATTTTCACAGCAGCCTTAGCAGTACATCTGTTTGTTCTACCAAACATTTTGGTAGGGCGTAGAGAATTTTTTAACTGCCACAGATAAATATTGTAAATTTAATATATTATAGGCAAAAGTAGACAAATCTACATTTGACTTTCCATAGCTGACAGATAAGGATGGATATACCAAGTATTTTGAGTGCCTTTCTACCTTCATAATGACTGAGAGCTTTAACTAAAGCACCTCATCACCTAGTTAGATGTTTATCTGAAAATGTTAAAGGGTTGATTCCTTTGCAAAATTTTGTTTCAAGATCATGTCAGCTACTTTCCCCTCAAAAAGGTGCTAAGCCTAATATTGCATTTTAACCTTGGACTTTCACCCCATGATTAATGTGAATATTTATTTCAATGTGTCCCTCTTACTGGGTTTTACTTTATCCAGTCTTTAGTTGTTTTAGAGAGATGTCACATCATGGTTTTATGCTGTTGCTTTTCATTATGAATGTTTAATTATGAACAGTGACTTTTGTAGATTTCAAATATACAGTACACAGTCGATTTTCAGAGGATTTAATTTCTCGGTGTAAAGAGTTTTGTAATGGTGCTTTGTACAGTATGTATTCTAAATTTTTTTTTGCACATAGTTTCAGTTTCCCTAAACTGATTTATTTGTACCAAATTTTTTGTGTTGTACTGAAGTCCAGAGCACACAAGCCGTTTTTTAAATTCTTGTTCTACAACACTACATCTGTATTGAACTTCTGGTGCGTTTAAACTGGCTGCATTGATGGAAGTAAAAGCTTTGCTTCTATATCATAAGTATGCATCATACAGCTTAATGTAGCATGCTCCAATTGCTTCAGATTTTAAACAGCACCATATAGTTAACAGGTGCCATTTGTTGTACCTTACACTATGTAGTAGGTTTCTGGCTCTACCACATCCTCAGAGCTTTGTCTGTAGTTGTAATTAGTTTATACAAGTGTAATTACTCCTCCACAAACTGACAGTTCTTAGTTTATCATTTCCATTGTATTTATTACAGAGTGTTTTAGCATTGGTATCATTGTATTTTCACCCAGCTGTTACATGAGCTTTAACAAAAAAATCTGTATAAAATGGTTTTTAAGTACTTAATGTATGTACCCATGCAGAAGTTGAGCAATAAATTGTATGCTGTTTGCACTGTCACAGCATCAATGGTTTTAAAAGTTTTAAGTTTTTCTTAATTATTTACTTTAACAGTATAATTTTTAAGTAACTCAACTTTGTTTCAGGAGAAAATACTTAGAACTTGGTGTCTTTCTGTTACCTACAATAATGATTGTGTTAAACATTCTAGTGAAACAAAAAAGGTCTTACTTTTGGCTTTGATGTAACGGTGTGTCACCATTGGTGAATGGATGTCTCCTCTCAAAATTCAGCAAAGCTAAACCATCTTCCTTAAGGGAAGAAAAAAGGTAAATCTGGTAAATACTAGTTAAATTTTATCAACTTAGCTGGTAAATATTGTCCCTTAGATAAAAGACTTTAAATTAGCTTGGCTTATAGCAGCTCTGTGGAAGTTATTAAGAAAGGCAGGGTGTGGGTTTCTGGGTTTGTGGAGGTTTTTTGGTGTGTGTTTTGGGTTTTGAGTGAGGTATATCATGCTCTAACTGCTGGGTGTTGTTTTATCTGTAAAGGACACCTCTCTAGCTGCTGGGGCCTTTTTTGTCTGCTTTGCTCTTTTTTTCCCTCTTCTTTTCTTCCCCATGCATGAGTCTTAATTCACCAAGTGTGTTGTCAATTCCATAACAGACACCAGCTCATGGAAAGCTTTAAATATTGTATATACAATGCAATCAATTCCAGTATTTTTATATCGCTTCTCTCACATGCAATTTTAAGCAAGAGCTCTTCCACTAGAGCCTGTTTAAAATTACACTCTAGTTCATCCTCATTGCTGAGATAAACTATTTAAAAATTGCAATTTTGTCAAGCAAAGGAGAACATATCCCTAATTATTAGCTTGGGTTTTATGTGATCTGTTCTCAGTTTAGGTATTCATCTCTCTGTGTTTGCATCTCATAGGGCTGATAATGTATGGCTGCTGAAACTTGAATTTTCTACCACCAATGTACTGTTTATAGACCTGATGATTCTACAAATACAGGTGTAGTGCCTGTTGTCAGCTCCTACTCTGGCTAGCAGAGCTTACACCCTGAAGAAAGGTAAAAGCTGAAGGTTGGAATTTTTAATCACTATTTACCTTCACACTGACAGAACTAAAACTAATCTGCTTCTCCCTAAAATAACTAAACAGGGTACTCAATACAGGGGCCCTTGCAAAACTTCTGTCCAAACAATCTGCTCCTAAGAGCAAACATGCTAAACTACTTGTTATTTTGCTTGTCCGTTTGTATATAGTATTACTATGACTTCCTCTTGAAATACAACAACTGAAACAAAGCTTTGCTTGTTTACATGTGGGCTAGTTTTGAAAACCCTGTGTGAAATCCAACAATTGAAACACCTATTAGTATACCCCTGTTGAAAATAATTAAGAATGCTGTCCACAGGTCCTGCTCAGGGCTTTAGTTCTTGCAGAAGCTTGTATTTTACTGCTTTAGAAGAATTTTTGTGGTTTTCTACTTCAAACTACTTTTTCCAATATGTTTGTAGCATAGAAAGTAGTACTTTATACTCTTTGCCATTAACAAGCCAGCAACACCGAAATTGCAAAGATAGTATTGTGTAGAATAAGTAGCTCTCTCTTGCTTCATATATTTAAATTACTGATTTTTATGTCAGGTTTATTGCAGGCATTCTCTAACTTGTCCTTTGACAGGAAACTTGAACCACAGATGTTCTTTTAAAGATCATCTTGTTCTTTCTGAGCTTTCCAATCCAGTAATTTCTGGCCAGTGGTGTTAAAATGGCTTTTCAACTCCAGCAACAACAGAACAAGCACAGGCATAGAAGAGGCTTAGCATTCACAGAATCACTCTTCCACTAAAATAAATTCACTAAAGCACACTGACTTCATCCCGCTTCCTTTGTGTGCAGCCCAACATTATCTCAGCCTTGCTAAGAAGGTAGAAAGCAGTTTAAAAACTTTATTGGTGATCATAAAAGTGCTGTAGAGAGCCCAGATCCCAGCAGCTACACCTCTGACATGTCAAAATGACAGGCCAGATATTTTAGAGAAAAAAGTCATACACCATCTTCTTGTTACAGCAGCTCTCAAAGATTCTTGTCATCTTAGCCAGACAGAACTGCAGTGATATTACCATAATTCTTACAAAAAATGGCTTTTGCTGTACTGAAAGGAAGCCATCTGAAGTCTGGATTTCAGTCTCTCTGCTTCTAGTTCTTGAAAAAAGGTGTCATCATCACTTTGCATTATCGCTGCTTGCAGTTGCTCTATTTCCTTTTCCATCCTTGATCTCAATTCTCTTTTTGTTTTCTGTAGCATCTAAAGGAAATACAGACATTAGCCACAGCACGTAAAAAGAAAAGACATTTAGAAAAAATTAAAAATACTTACTTGTGCTTGTGCTTTCTCTCTAGTTTGGATTTCTTGGCGTTCTTGAGATAAAGCTTCTGCTAGCATGGAAAACTAAGCATAACACATGTTTGAGTTGAACCAATTAAAGAAAGGAAGGAAACACTTCTAGTGAAAAAAAAGACCAAACACAACAAACCCACACAAAAAAACCACCAGACTTTGATGCAGATTAAGCCTTACCTGATCTTTGTAATAGTTCTCCATAGACTCCAACTCATTTTGATGCTCTTGCCTTTGCTCAGCACGCTTCTCTTGAGCATATGCTCTCAGGTCCTTCAGTCTTTGCTTCTGAATTTCTAAGCCTTCTTCAAATAAGTTTTTAAATATCTGCCAGCAATTAAAAAAAGCAAACATAAAACCTTCCCAAAAGCTTTTAAGTATACATTTACATTTTTCAAGCTGCTTTATCTCATGATGGAATGGTGATCGCGTAAAGGTAGGTCCTTGCCCATGAAAAAGTACAGTTAGATATCTGCTTAATGGTGGTACAGATACAGCTGAGCTGTATTTGTATTAATCATTTAGCTGAAATTCTGATAGATAAAATAATTTTTTCCTGTCGGTTTAGTCATTTGACTATGAAAGGGCCTAGAACAGCAAATGGCTATTACATTTTCAAAATCACTTCAGATAAGCTGACAGTGCAAGCCCATCTTTGAACATGCACTGTGATTTACAGCCCACCCTGAATTCTGTTGTCCAACTTCAGGACCTTCACCCACATTTCCAATAGCAGGAAATCCAGCCTGTGCTCAGGCTTTCCATTTATACAAAACACCACTTAACAGCTGCAGTGCAGTGCAGCTTGAGGCAAACAGTTCTCAAGTCACCAACAGTGGATTATGCAGTGAACTTTTAGTCTTTTATTTTAAAAGGTGTGAGAATTGTGTATCTGCTCTTGCAAAGTGTAATAACTCTACTCGCTTTCCTTAGCTCTGATGTTCAGCCCTAATTAGAGATAATATCTGTCAAAAAGTCCACTTTGTTTAACAAATATAACTGAATAACAAAGCTGTCTTTTCAATCAGTTTCCTTAACCGAAGCTTTAGATTGTTTTCTTTGGATAGTAACTATAGGAACAACTTCTTAATCCTACCGTTTCTGAAAACCCATTTCCCCAAATTCTCATGTTACCAGCCCTGTTTTTCCATACTGATGCTTCACCCTTCTCTCCATCTCTTAACTTGCTAAAGCATCCTTTCTTGTTTTACAGTGATTTGCCCTAAACTGTATCAGTGTTTTCAAAGAAGGAACCTTTTAATCTGTGGCTTTCACTGACCAACCATTTAATCCTGGCTCCTGTGCTCTGTTCACTTAACTTGCTCTGTCTACTTGTACCATTATTTGAACAACTATGGGTCCTCAGTGCTGGGGTCGAAACAAAAAATAATTCCACCCTTGCAGAACAATAAATCTTGTACTTACCCTTTCTTCCCGTGTCCTAGCCCGCATCATCTTGGCACGCAACTGAACCCGGTAATCTTCATAATATTTCCTGGCTCGAGCAATTTGCTGGCGTTTCTCTCTCATGTTATTCTGAGCCCGTTTCTGTCGGCCGATACGTTGCTTAAATTCTTGCTAAATGGAGAACAGTAGCTGTCAGACCACCAAGCTTCCAATTGATATTGCTGCAGTCAAAGCTTTTTTAATCATTGCTAAATAAATAGGGTCCTTTAGTAAGGGCCTTCTCCCTACCCCAATTTTACACTGCATTTATGGTTTAAAGCTTTAGTCACCTCTGATTTAGCAAAATGGTGCCATCAAGAACACTCTATAATTAAGGAATCAGCATTGCCACAGTAGCTGGTGCTTTTACCAGCCATACCAGGAGCCTGAAGTTTCTTCTCCTTGCACATTCTTAGAGTTTGTTTGCACTTTTAAAGCAACAGTGCAGTATCATAATAATGTTCCATTCCCATGACCTTAGTAGCCACACAGCAAACACATTATGTGGCATTTGAAACCACAGCTACTCAAGGCACAAAATTGTTGCAAGATTCAAATGCCACTTTTATGGACCAGGGAATACACATTCTAGCTAGCTCAACATAAATTTTTTTTTGTATTATGTAACAAATATCCTTCAAAGAACATACCAGTCTTTTGTTATGGTCTTGATCTTTTTTAATGATTGCAAGAAGCAGCTCATGCTTCTTCAGGGCTTGTTGAACCTGGAGGTTTAAAATAAAAAAAATAGCTAATTACTTCCATCATTCTGCAGGAGAAGCAGTAGTATGTAGGAGTTTTAAAACATTGCCCCTCAGCTATGTTTTGGTTTTTACATTGAGAGTTACCACACATAAGTTAATCAACTAATCAACTTTTGTATGTCATAACTAACTCAAAGACTGTTCAGAACTAGCATTCAAAACTACAAAATGCTTTTAAAAAAAGCAATAGCAATCCTAGGCAGTACTAGATAAGCTAGTATAAAAAAATGACTATTATATTCAAGTGGCTGGTAAAAAGTTGAAGCCATGTGTCTAGATATGTATGTCCCTATTTAAGTAACCGAGCTCAGATATACATCCTTTCATATTGTGCTTTGGATGCACATGTACCCTATCTATGCTGCATACAAAGCATCAGGATGACTTTATTATTATTTTATTATGCAGTGCAAACTGATGACTGCTAACTATTCTGTCAGAGGTACTACCCTGCTGATACTTAAAAGGTAAGAATAAGAATGCTCACTTCATTTTGGAGTTTTGGTGTCACTCTGCCAGAAGCTGCCTTAAGTTGTTCAGTATGTGCAAGCTGCCGCTGCCACATTTTATTCATAGCATGGTGGGAAATATGCAGGTGGGGAAACTCTTCCAGTAGCTGAAATAGGAGGTCATCATCTTTTACTTTCACTACAAGGTAAAGACAGATGTAAGCAATAAATTCCTGGAGAATACATTTAATGATAAATTCTTTCAGATGGTGTCAGCCTAGGTTATGAAATATTTTAGATTGTACACTATATACAACTACCATTCTGTTGTTATGAGGTCAAGCTAAACTCAGCAGGACGTAACATGACTCTGTCAGTAAAGCAGCAGAGAAAGTAATCCCAAGTTTTTGTTGGTGGTTTATTTTTTTTTGTTTGGGTTTTTTCTGCTGAAGAATTGCTTTTAATGCCTGAGCTATAATTCCCTCCCACCACCACATCCAATTAAGACAGGTATCTCTTTTCTTCATATGGTTCTGACCATCACTAATTTATCTGGTGCTCTCATTGGTTGCAGCAACTTAAAATGCTAATACAGCAGTAGTAGTGACAGATCCAGGTCAAGTAAACAGGTGTAAAATAAACTGGTTTGCAACCAGCTCATTCCCATTACATCTGTGATCTTTTTGGCAGGAAAAGATGATGGGGAGATAAAACAAACTGGTATTAACCAAGTATATGTCCTTTAAACATTTTAAAAAAAAAAAAAGGCAGTGTACCTGAACAACATTCAGATATGTAGGGGACTATAGAGTGACCATAAGCATGCACAATACTGTTTACCAAAACTGAGCCTGTGATTTGCATGTTGGCTGTTCTTAGAGCATCACTTGCCCAGCAAAACCAGTGGCAGTGTCACCACTACAATGGCAGAGTCTTGAAAGGAAGATGATAGCAATTAACAGATTCTGCTCTATTACCTGTACATGGCTCAGCACCAGCCCACTCAAGCTAAAGGCCCAATTTTAAATATGATACATGCTCAGAAAAAAAACAAAAAAAAACCCAAAACAACAAAAAAAAAAACCCAAAACTGAGCTCAGACTATAGCGGATCAAGTATAGGAGTAGCTGTAATGGAAACAAGCCTTGAAAATAATCCAAGGGATTTTAAGGAGGTAGCAAATGGGTTACAGTTTTGCTGGTGCATTGGTGGTTTACATTTACTTAAAGCATTATCTTCCCTAACAAAAATCCAGACATATAGAGGTCATAAGAAGGGGAAAATGCTACAGCTGACTGGTATATGTTGGACTGATGCCTTTATTCTTGGAGTTCAACACATGCTTTCAAAAGATGCCAGTTTTCCACCAAGTATAGTTTTGCAGTTCTTACTTGGAGCTGCTTTCTTTGGCTTCACAGTCCCTCGTTTTGGAATCCACTGGCCGTATTTGGGATTCCGAGGTGTGGTTTTTCTAGAATAAACTTTCACTGGCTGAGGCATTTTTGGAGGTTCTTTAAAGATGTTTTCTTTGTATTCTTGTTCCTTAGGAGCAGATGTAAAACAGATGGAGAACAGGTATGAGAAGGGAAAGACTGATAGATGACATAGTTTAGGTATCAGAACTTAAATGTCTTTGAAACTTTATAATGAGAATTTGGACATACTGATTTGGATTCTCCAGAAGGCCAGAATTTACCAAATGCAGGTCAGGGTTCAAATAAAGGTTAAATATCACTATTGCATAACCTCAGCTCTTCTGCAGCATGTAACACTACTGCAGCAGCCTATGGACTGCTACTGCAAAGGTGGTGAAAAGGGCTAGGCAGCCTGCATTGTTATGACAGAGCTTTTCAGCTTAGGTTTTTTGCTGTTCCAGTAGTACGTCAGAAAATAGCAAAAAAACCCTCTCCATGTTCCTAAAATTAGAGTATCATCCTTGCACAAACTCAACTTTTAGAGTAGTTAAAGACTATTACAATATTAAGCAGATTGTCTACAGTGTACAGGGGCTCCAACCTTAACCTAGTTGTTGGGCCTGTGTGTGTGCCAAGTACCCATCTGCAGAGAAGTTTAGGCCAGTCTATGGAAGCTGTCTACTTGCTCACTTAGCTTTAATTCTGTAAAACTCAGTGTCTTGAAGTTACCACCTCACATGAAAAGCATGGTGGTTGCTACCCATATGAATAGAAATTATTCTTAATATATAGAAGTGCTGAAACTTCTAAAACCATGTCTCTTGGTTCTACCTATCGCAGGAAAAGCTGTCCTTGTGTTTACTACTTTAGTAGTAACACTGTAGCACTGTAACTATGACACAGGAAGTCAAGGAGGTTTTGTACCCAAAAGACACATCCGGTGTCTGGACAGATGATCTAGACAAATTTAAAACAAGAAACAACAAACAATCATCATAGCACATCATACCGTCTCCTTGATGACTTCTCTGAGCTTGGAAAGTCTAAGCCTCTCCTGAGCTTCGTAAATTCTTAGCTCATCTTCATAAGCTTTAGCGACCAGCTAGAAAATAAAAACAAGAACTTTTCAAACAAAATAATCAGTCCATATGACCACCTTATTAACTTGTTCAGCGTATGGGTCAAAGTAGCTTCTTCCACTTTAAACTTTTTTTGCAAAATGGGCGGTTTAAGTCTTTTCCTGAGCAGTCTACAGAAACAACAGTATAAGATTACTAAAGTAGGCCAGATGCCCCCATTAAGTAAGAGCAGTCAGTCTGAGTGCTTTTAGTATAACTGTTGGTAAAGATGACCAAGAGGTCTAGCCTAGAAATTACCTTTGCTTTTTTTGTTCTTTCATTCCTTTCTTTTTGCAACTGGTTGCGTATTTTCCTTATTTGGCCTTCTCCATTACTGCAAAGTTTATCTTCCAAATCAGAAAAGTGTTGATGCTGAGATGAAGGTGAAGATGGAGAAAGGGATCTTGGCCTGCTTGGGTACCTTAGATGTGGCATGTCTGTAAGGAAAGGCGATTCATTGAGTATTTAACTTGAAACCAAAAACACCCTCCAGCCAAACATTGAGGTAAAAAGCCCCCAAAACCCTATACAACATAAGAGTAAAAAAGTTTAGCACAAATGAAGACGTAAAAAGCTAAAGCCTTTGCCTTTAGAATTATCCCTGCCCCAAATTACAGATTTTGGGGCTTATATAAACAATAGCAAAAGGAAAAAGCTGCAAAGACAACTGAAGGTAGCTCAAGATGAGAGACTGTTTATATGCCAGGGTCACAAACAGCTCCAACTTGCAATATTATGTTTTGCATGTGGATTAGATCAAGCTGTATGATAGTTTCATAGCCTGGTGTACATATAGGTTGGTCATTAATTCATATTGCCACCAACACACACGCTGCACAATGTGTTTGTAAGATATCCAGATGTACATGTTACGTTCAGCACAGAAGAACCTGCAGTGAAGCGTATTGTGAACAGGCCTTCATTTCAGAATCACAGTCCTAGCCATGAGCTTGTATTCTGTCTCTCCCCTCGCTTTCTGTACATTTTTTACTGCAGCTGTGATTGTCTTGTATTTTTAGTAAAGTTTTGCCATAGCTATTTAAGTGTTAAATGGGAACTTAGCTGTAATTCTGTTACTGTTGCTCAGGTTTGGATCTAAGACAAAAAATATACGTGAACTAGCAATATAAAACTTACACTGAACTACTCGTAGTTAGTTACTATCAGCTTTACATTAGGATGTTTTAATATTCCTTTCCATCCTAATACTTAACTGGCACAAGAATTGTTACCTCTCTCAGCTTTCCTTCGGCGGTAATCCATGACACTGTCACTGTGCTGAGACAGGCTGTCTTCATCTGTCAACTCTTCTTCTCTGGTGTGCCCACCCAAAGCTCTCTTCAACATCTATTGGACAGATTTTTTGGGGGTCAGGTTCAATAGTTCATTCAAAATTTAGAACTGTCTAAATTCAGGTGTTAGTTGCAGATATCCTTTTCATAAATACTAAATTTATATTCTTGTTCTCTCCACTATCATTACTAAGGCTAGATTGCTTAGATACAACAGAACAGATTTCACTTACTGAATCAAGTTCATTTAACCTGCAAGAGAGTTTTTCTGACACTTTATGAAGCTCTTGCTCAGATAGCTTTTCCTTTGTTGTTCTGTGGGAAAGAGACTCTTCAAGTGAATCTGTGGTAGAACTTCCATATCTGTTAAAATTGAAAACAGAAATTTCATTTCTATTCTAAAAACTTGAAGATAAGCATTACTGCGTACAATTCCAGTTCACTTTTTGCATGAGCATATTTTTACAGGATTAACATGTAAATGCATGTAACTGTATTTCAGAAAATGTATATATCAGGAGAAACAGGAAATCTGTTTAAATTAATCTTTCAGTGTCATGCAGCCAAGGAGGGAGAGATCTTAAAGGCAGTGGTGGGGACACCTGGGTGGTCATGTATGCAGAACTGCTAGCTTGGCTCAGTATCAAAAAAACTGAACTTGCCTTTTCTTTCTAGGCAGATACCTAGATTCAGGTCTTGGAGTTTGTGTTACTTGCTCAGCACGTAGTGAGAGTTTTTGCTGTAAACAAGAAGCAGATGAAGGCCCATATACCCATGGAACCTAGGAAAATGAGTAAGAATAAATTAAGATTTTATTAAGATCTTTACAGTAAAGCTCAGAAATACCATAGATCAGTTGAGGAGAGAGATCCTACAACAGCTTTTATAGGAAAACCATCTCAAACCCTATGATTTTTATATATATAAAAGTTGTATACATTCTGTATATAGTTTTATATATGTATGTATATATAAAAGTAGTTGTATGTCCAGATCCCTAACTGAAGACAGCATGCTTTAGAGAATTAGATGTTTAAAGAAACAGGCTAGCAAAAATACAGAAGAGCAATTTAAGAATCATCTACAGCTAAACCACTGAATCAGAAGAACAAGGTCTAGGTTGAGTTATGAGAGTATCCCAACATACTACCTCATTAGCCTGGGACTAATGCCAAGTAATATAAGTAAGCTGAACCTCACTGAGTATAGACTAAGCTGCAATTCACAGCAAACTAAAAGAAAACACTTTCGCCCTTATACCATTTAGTTACACTGGTTTAGTACTGCCTGGTTCAAACTGGAGTAATTCAGGGTTGGCATGCATATACTTGCAAATACACCAATGGAAAATGAGTTTTAAACAGACAATGTTTTAAACAGACAATGTAGAAGTAAAGGCTGTTGAAACTACTGGAACAAATGAAGTCTGTGAGTACCTCTTGTGGTTGCAGAAGGCAAAAAAAAAGTGTTTTCCAGAGCAAGGAATTTCCTATACAGATATGTTTCTAGAAGCACAGAATAGCACCTGCTGATCAATTTGTGGGTTTTGCATTACTAAGTTTTTGAAAAACAAAGGACAATGCAAGGAAATAAAATGAAATTATATAGCCAGGCAGTTCAGTGATCTTTAGGAAGGGAGCAAAATATGAATTTTATTTGAGTCAGAACAACCCCAGAAGACCAAAATTCTTACTATTTTAGAATACTGATACAGTTCAGAGAAAGGACATGACTGTACTCTTATGTTTTGCATATCTTTGATTAAAACTAAGATAACTAGTAACTGGTTTGTTGTGATAAATTAGAACTCTATAGGTACTGGCACTTACACTGCTTGAAGCAAACACCTCCAGAAAGAACTGACATGACTTATAAACTGTACATAGTCATAGTCTTAACAACTTTGCATCACTGATTGTATATTGAAGCAAGCCAAAAGCAGGTTTGAAAAAAGCCCAGAAGTGCCACAAGGTATCAGGACAATTCAGCTGAAATCCAAAAATACCAACCGAACTTCCACAAATAAGGTAAAGATGCAATATCTACCTTTGCCACATTGTCCTCAGCATCATTTGGTACCACCTTGTCTTCCACTGCAGAAACAGATGACAGGTAAGTGTTAGTTGATGGTACCGACTGCATTGTGCCTACTAATGTGGGGAACAAGTCAAAAAACCATGTGAACCATGGCCTTTGGAATCAAATTATTCAAAGAGAACAATGACAAAGCAACTGTGGTTACACAGTTGTGACATTCATTTTGGTAATTTCTCAAGTTTTGAATATTCAGTGTCATAGAAATGCTATGGAAACTAGAAAGGTAAGCAGTGTTTCCCAGGCAACAGAGAAAATAAGCACGGAAAACTAGCTTCTAAACCTTTTCTACAACAGCAGTCAATGGCTTTTTCCTAGAGTTGAAACTGGCTTGTTGGGTCCATGTTTCTCTGCACAGAGTAAGCTCAGCCATGGGAGTTATCTGCTAGGAAAGATTTTTCTAGTATAGGCACATCTTAACTGGATTAACTAAGAAAAGAGTTGAACTGGGGACACAGATTATTTTTCTCCAGCACAGTGAACAGCTAAAAAGTAACTTATTTTTGTTGCTCTATAAAACAGAGATAGAAATATGAACTTGTGGCTGAACTAAAAAAAAAAAAAAATGCACTAGTAGTTTCAAGATCACATTTCTTGTAGTGCCAATAAAAATAAATGCAACATTTGACACTTAAGAGTTACCCTACAGGAAGGAAAATTGTCTCTCACCAGGGATTGTCCTTGGTAGAGGAAGACTACCAGAAATATCTTCAGATTTTTGTGTAAGTGCCTTTTCAAGCTGAAATAAAAAGCAACATGTTTTCTTTAAATTCACAGGAGAGTGTTGAAAGGAAGGTCATACATCAGGTTTGTCTGCATATGGAAATCAATGCTGATTTTATAGATAAAATACACTAGAATTATTTTGTTTACTATATTGTAAACTGCATAGTTACATTGATTATGGAAATGTGTATGTATATGTGTGTAAAATAAACACATCCCTCAAATTAACTTCCTCTCTGGACTCTCAGCAAAGAATGAATCCACAATGCAAAATTCTTTGAACTGAAGATAAAATCTGACACATTCAGAAGTGCTCTTCAGAGACCAACTACTCCCATTCTGCAAGTATGGTAGAAGTTTTTAAAATGAAAGCAGTAGCAGTATCGATTGCTAAAAATATATATATATTAAAAAAAAAAGAAGAAAAAAATAAATGCATTAGAATGGGGCATTTATGCATACAGAAATGGAGAAAATTTGTCTGAGCTGTGATAATCTCTCCATCCAGGATAATGGGATCTGGCTTTTGAAGGCTGAAATGGTGGTAGCAAAGGAATAGCTTGTTGTATAGGCTCCCCAAGTTTTGTAGCACTGGCTCTCAAGCTCTCTTTTTGAGGTTCAGTAGTATGAACAGACACCATTGATCCTTAAGAGGCAAGTATGAAGAACTTGAAGTTTAAGTCTTATCTATGAAAGCAGAATGTTAGTTTCGTATATCCCCCATACATACTAGGTGGAAGTATCTAAATATCTAATGTTAGCTACCATGTTTGTTGGATCCTATAAGAACAGTATTGTAACATTTGTATGCCTTGCAATGTTACTTTTCTGTTTACAGAGATACATACTGCAGCCCCTCCCTGTCTCACTACTTTTATAAAAGCACCAAGTTTTTTATGTCTGTATATGTGTGTATGAATATACTGCTCTCATACCCCATTGGTGTAGCTATTCATTTTAGGTACACGCTTTGGCATGCCTGCTCATGTACAGGCAGTCTAAGTAATGACAGAGCCATAGCCAGCAGAGGCCAGAGACAACTGGAGAAGACAGCTGCCACCTGTCAGAATGATTCACCCACTACACAATCTATCCATATCTGCCCTTAAGAACAGCATGAAAGCTCCCTTGAGAACGTGCTTTTGGATGCTAGGGTCTTCCACAAGGACTTTATTTTTAGTATTTTGCTTATTGAATCACAAAAGGAAACAACCTAGCTGAAACTGAATTCTGGCTAAGCAAAAATACCCCAGATAGTGGAGTCTGCATGCTCTGGGACATAATATAAAATTTCTGAAAATTATTCATGTCAAAATATAGCTGAAGTGTTTCTATCCATGACTAAGGTTCTCCTCTACACTACCTTAGTACCCTACGCCCCTTAGTCAAAATCGGGTAGATTAACTACCAGAAGAATGAATACTCACCATCTTCCTTTTCCTTTACAATGGCCCTTTCAGTTTCAGAGAACTGTCCAGGTAATATTGCAATAGCCTCTGAGTTTTTAGATTCTTCCACCCCCTTGTCCTTTTCTCGTGGTAACAATTCCGGTGACTGGAATTCTAGAAGTGGCATTTGAAAAAGATTAAGTAAGAACTATAAAGCATCTCACTATGAACTGTTTAGATGGACAATTGTCATGCTTGGTATGTTAATAACATGGTGTTAAGCAATCCATACTATGATCAAAATAGGTCTGTTAAATTCTTACTTGTAATTCCATTCAATACAAAATTCATAATATTTCCTTATGCCTCTACTTGGAGAGATTAATCACCAATAAGAATAGGAATTCTTATATGAAAATAGGAAACGGGAATGGACTCCATTTAAGTAGTCTGCACATTATTTGTTCCAGAGCCACACATATTTTCAAGTGGCACACACTCCTAACAAGCCTTCTTTAAGAACGAACTTACTAGTCTTCTTACAGTCTTAAATAATACATTTTACATTACAATAAATGAAATAAATTAAAGGCTTCAGAAATCTCATATTGTAGTGAACAAATGCCTTTGTATGGAAAACTTAATTAGAAGACAAACAACAAACTTTTATCCAAATAATGTAGCTCAGGAGTCATGAAAAACAGTGTCTGGATTATTTTAAGAAATTTTAACTTCAGCAAGATCAACTACAGCTACATTTGCTTGTTGTGGGTTGGCGTTTTTTGAGGTCTGGGGTTTTTTTGTAAAATAAGAGTTTTAAACAAAGACTTCTTAAAAAAAAAAAAAAGAAGTAACTTTAAAAAAAAGAAACAACAAAAAAGGCTAGAAATGTTACTACAGAGTAATCTTAAATTTTTTTTTCACTCAAACTCACCTTTGTCTCTCTTGGAAAATGAATGAGCAGTATCTCCAAGTCTAATTAATTCACTGGTAGATTCTGATCCATCTGCATCACAAGATGGAACAAAAAATTCTGATTGGGACCTAAGAGGAACATAAAACCATAAAATACTTACTCTAAAAGTCTTTGCCCCTTCAGCCCACAAGATGGAGCTGCAGAAGAGTGGCAACTCTAGTTGAGGCAGCTGGCTAGCATAGGACATAAGAGACCAGCTCTCCAAAACAAACCAATGTAGAAGTCAAAGATAAAGTGAATGCAGTTTAACTAAAATGCACTCATTTAAAACTGAGGAAAAGTTTTCAACTCATTTCATTCCACATAAAGTAAACTTAAGGGGAAAAAAAAATGCCATCAGCACTCTTCAAGAGCAAAAGAGTTCTGGATCTAATTTTAGCCCTCTTGCTGCTCAACTGAAGGAGAAAGGTACCTCACATTCCATTTGACATATGTAATCAGTATGTTTCCTACTTGCATGCTATTAAAACCCTACTGGTTTCTGTACAGATACACAAAAAGATAGTCAATCACTCTGTCAATGCAAATAGTCAATCACTCTGTCAATGCAAATAGTCAGAATTGTTCTTACCCTTCAACTGATAAGAATATTGAAGGTTGCCTAAGTTGACCAGCATTGCTTTCCAGCTGCTCTTGAGATGCAATTTGAATTTCATTATTGCATAGCCCATTTACCTCATCTGTTAATAATAAAGAGGCAATTATTTTCAGGAAAACTACTTCTACCTATTAACTAACACGTATTATTGCCAATAACATCAAAATAGTTTAAATGTAATAAAACATTATAATGATGGTATCTAAAATGACAACATGTAATGTCTCCCCTTGAGGGGCGCAACTTTTATGGTAAATTTTGAAAAGCAAAACAACTATCATATACCCCATTGTTTCAATTATAACCAACCCCTTTCTTCTTCCCCAAAAAGAATTAAATCCTTTACTTATAACTGGAAAACTAGAGCCACTAACACCTATTGGGTAGCAGTACTAGCAGTCTGAGAGCAGGGAAAAGCAGAAGTACGGACACTGAAAAATGCTACTGCCCTCTTTCTGCCATTCACAGTGAAAAAGGACAGGATGCAACTGTCTGAACCACCAAGCGCTCTCCCCTTTACTCAACAGGGTACAACAGCCAGTGATGACAGTTCTTATCTTTAAGATAGGAAGACCACTACTCAGTCAGCAGTAACAACGATGCCTCTGAAGCGCTGAGTAGCTTCTCTTCCCCTGTTTAGGGTTTTCCTCAAAATAGCCCCTGCTATGGATCTGCTCCCAAGACCCACTTCACAGGAAAGCTTCAGTCATCCCCCCGTCTGTTTCCTAGTAAGTAACAGCAGTGTTCACTTACTGTTCCAATTAAAGTCAACATTTCCCTCCCTAAATCCTAACCATAAATCATTTGACTTACAAGTTAAAAAGCAACATACTAACAGAGGATGAATTACCTGGAGTAGGTTTCTGCTGCAAGAATGAAGGAGAAAGATTACGTTCTCCAATTCTTGTCTTTTAAGAAGTTTTGGGGAAAGTAAATTCTCTCTTTTACCATTATTGTTTATGAAAATAAGAAATGTAAATACTCTGTTTGGCCACTGAAGTTTCCTCCACCCATGTTCAGTGTCAGTCTTTCTCCTCTTCTGCATTGTCAAGGTTATAAGTAAGGCAAAAATCACCAAATAAATCTTTGCTACACAGGAAGCACCATGGGTATCCCAAAACAAGGTTTCACAAAGCTTACATCTTCCAATGGTTTCGTTCCCTATAGCTGCTAGTGAGGGGAACAGCAAAGAAACAGTTTTTACCCATTATGGGAGCTGTGTTCCACCCATGCACAAGAACTATGGTCATGAGAACCTAACAAAGCCCTCAGCAAGCTAACTTGATAGCAGACAAACAGAAAAAGTAAGCCGTCCCTAATATAGTAGTAACAGAACTTAAGCGAGGACATCTGTCTACTCACCTCCATTCTGAGAAGACTCACTGGCTTCTTCTGTAAGATACTCTAACAAACCATCAAATATTTCAAGGAGGTTTCTGATAGATTCCCTTTCTCCTTTCACAATGTTCTCACCTTAAAAGAAGGTACTGCCACATATTAATTAGTACTTCACAGAAGAAAAAACTCTCAAAAGCAGCCATCTTCTGGAGAAGAATGCTTGGAAATTCTTGTGAAGGTGTCAGTTCAGAAGACAACTGGTCACTCATTTATGGCTATGTATGTAAGCTTAAGGTATCTTAAAAGCTTCCTAAAGTTGCGTATTTTCAGTTCTAATAATCGAAAGGCTATTGACACTATAATTGCTTCCACACACACAAAAATAATCGGGGATATTTTCAGGGTTACTTGGTATCTAGTATTTTCTTATACATACTAGCTACAGCATGAACCAAGTCTACAGACTGGCAGGCAGGATTACAAATACCAGCCATACTGTACAGGTACCAAATTAGAAAGAGATAGCTCATACAAGCAAGCTGTTTTCATTCTTTGCAGGCTATGTTATGTGAGACTATACATATGCATGCTCAATGAAAGCTCCGATCTGTGTACAAAGGACAGACACAACACAGTTCAACTCTTTACTCACTGACTTTAAAATTCAATAACAAGTTTTAAATTCAAGGCTGGTGTTTTAAAAACAAGTCTCCAAATTTTAACTGTATACAGAAAGATACTGAGCTAGTAACAGACTCCAGGTAACACTTTAGCAGACAAGTGAAGTAAGACTGATTGCTAACTTTAATATTTCTTACAGGTCTTTGTCATACAAGATGACTCTTATTTATTCTCTGCTCACTGTTTAAATTTATAACCTAATGTCCGAGGCAATTGTTCAGTGTTTTGATGACATTCACTATAGGAAAAAGACCTTTCATGTAAGTATGAGGGTATGCTTCATAACATATGGTTCTTATAAAATGTTTAAATTAAACCACACAGCTGGTGTTTGTGTACAGTAAAATGAGTACTTACCAGTGATGTGTGACAAGCTGACCTGCAAATAGTCCAATGCCAGGGAATCGATTACTGCTTGTACATTATGTGCATCATCCTCTTGGCTTCTAGGGGTTGCTATGAAATCTATTTAAAATAAATAACAGATTTTAGGCTATCTAAATGGATAGCTTATTGCAGATGTTTTGACTAAGCTACTTGAACTTTCACTTACAAGTTAGTATTTTTTCAATACCTTCTGTACTTGGTGAAAAGCCCAAATAGTGTATGGTCATATGAAGTCTAAATTTGTACTCAGTATTTATAAAAGACAACCCACTGGAAGACGTGAGAATTTTATCAGCTGAAGTATTAAATTCAAGAATAGAGACTACGAAGCTATTTTTCCTCCTTCACTCCCAGCACACACATCTAGTTCAGGTTGTCAAACTGAACTCCAGTTCGTCTTAAGGTCTCTTGTTCCCCTGTCAGTGACTAGCTGGACTGCAACGCATTCTACTTAATTGGGAGCAACATTATTTTTAGTTCTGGGCTTACATTTAAATGGACTCCTACCACCAATAGCTGCCAGTTACCTCTTGCAGTTATCTTCTGCAAGTAGGATAACACTTCCCAAAGGCAACAGTTTACCATAAAGCAAACAAATAGATAATTGTATAGCCCTTGCTTATTGTTGTCACTGAAGTCAAACGGAGTTGGGTTAAACCAGAGTTAAATCACAGCTTAGCTCTTAGCAGACTATAAGTATTAAGCATTTTATGAAAATAAAATTCAGTTATGAATGAATTTATGAAAATAAAATAACAGCTTCCGTATTAACACTTCTTTAAGAGAAATGAGCCAATTCACACCCTTCAAAAGTATTGTGCCTATGTATGGCTTTCAAGGACTAATTCACAATAGAAAAAGTTTTGCTGTAGTTATACTAATGAACTCCCCTCACAGCTGCCATTCATAGCAGTCAAAAAAACCTGGCCAATGTTACTTAAATCCTCTTGAAGAATGATAGTCTTACATGTTTGTCTTTGGAAGGATACAAATACTTTAAAAACCCCTAAATCTGCAGTAAGTTTTGCAAACTTGAATTTGTTCATTACAAAATATACAGAGACAAAAAGAAAGCAGGGTTAGAAATTATCATTCCTACCTGGCACTTTTTCTCCTAAGATTGACTCATAAAGATGAACAAACAAATCAGCACCACATTCAGACAGATGCTTTATGTGCTGGTTTATGTGACAGCTCCTTAAAAGATCATTGGCAACATCAACCGAATCTATTAAGAAGTAAAACATATTAGTGTCAGGGATGAAAAACATAGAAATAAAGACATGGTTACTTACAGTGAAATATGGAACCCATTTAAGTGTCTTTGACTGCACTGTAAGTGCTCAATCCCAGTCATGGTATCCCAGTCATCCCAAAATACTGAACATGTTGTTTGCTTTCTGCTTTCTTCCCTTCCTACTTCAGATGGAAACGCAGACAGAGCAAGGAATGATACACACCAGTATCTTGTTCAAGTACACAGTCACAGCACATAGAATTGAGCTGAAGGGTACTGAAGTACCACAGGCTGGGCAGATTGCTTCCACATAATGAAAAGCACATTTTTGTCTGGCTGCATAACCAGGAATTCTGGACCTTGAAGGACTTAGCAAGATAAGCTTTGATACATTTTATCAAGAATCAGAAATTACATACACTTGTTTGAAAAACATGAGCTTCCCTCTTACAAGCCCAGTTTCTCTAATACTCTCAGGCAATAACAAATCCGTTAATACAAGTATTCTTCACGAAAGCTAAATTCAAGGTTGCTGTTTAGGGATTGCAAGAATACAGAGCTGGTCCCACCACCTTCATGCAATGTTGAGTACAATGAGAAGTGTGCATAAACAGCCTTATTTTCCCAAAGCTTTGAGTCCTGCATTCAAAGTGCTTTGAAGCACATGTATCCTCTATAGTCTTCCTTATCAGCCAATTCAAGTATCAGCTTGGAAGAAAAAAGCCTTCATCTCTATTAGCCTGTGATCTCTTAAGGTTGGTTTTCCCCCCCTACACATTGCTTTTGCAAACAAAACAGTATTTTAACAGGTATTATCAAGGGATTTAAATTAATAGAGAAGGGATGCCATCTTTGGAAGGAAAAGAAGTATATGATTACTACAACAGAAACTAACTTGTAGTTTTTACTCTTCTGTGCACGGGGAGTATTACTTTTCCATCACTCTGCTCTTCAGTTCCAGAAAGCACTTTACCCCAACATTTTAATAATTTCAGGTGCATAAAAGGTTAAAGTAGCATCTCCTGCATGTCAGGCTGGTACGCCTTAAAAAACTTCAGTTACTGTTCATCTCCAGCTTTATCAATCTAAAACGGTCGCGGGGGGAGGGGGCGCAAAGACAAGAGAGTGGAAGGGGAAGTTAACGTAAGGAGCAGCGAATTCCCGAGGAAGAGGCGCCCGCGGTTCAGAGACGGGCGATCTCCTCAGGAGTGCCCGTTGCCGGCCGGTCGCCCCTACCTCTCTCCCCAGCTCTCCCCA